GTTCCAAGCTCAGGGCTTAGATCTGAGTAGTGCCGTAATAAAGGGTAGTTTGGTTTTGTCATCATTAATTGATTAGGAAAAACGAAAACACACACACACTTGGTTAAGCAGTTGTTTCAGTGCTTTAGCATACTTCCAATTAGAAACTCCTGGGAGTAAAACATTCAGGGAAGTCCCGCTGGATGGAGTGGTACCATTACTTGGCCACGTACAACTGCCAAATAAACACTAAGAATGACTTATCACTAGTTGAAAAACTTCGATTTGTTCTCTAACAACATCAGGTCATTTTGTGTAAGCACTGCCACTTATTTGGAATGTTGATTCCTGAAAGGATGCACTTTTCTGCCTCTGTCTAGGACTTGCAAAACCTGCAGGGTCAAGGAGGAGAGCAAGAGGAACCAAGGGGCACCATTTCCATTCACCTTGATGGTGCAGTTACTATCATGTTTCCCTCACTATGCTGGCTTGGCAAAGGAAGCTAACCAAACCATGCTTGGAGAAAAGTTAATAATGTGAGAATGTATTTTGAAAGCCCAATTAAAGTTCTCATACAATGTATGACATTCGTGAAACATTAAGTATGCTCTGAATGAAACAAGTCACACACTCCAAAGACGTGTTTGATTTATACTGAGTTCATATTAAGAACAGAGATGTACACTTTTATCTCCTCCACTAATCTGTGAATTCTATGAAGGCATATTTGGTCATTCATTTATTTTTATATCCACATTGCTTTGCGCCATGTGGGACACAAAGCAGCCACTTTAACTTATGGATTGAACAGACTCAAAGTAAGTATTACCTTCTTAACTTTTACTTCACGCTGATTCCCTCTTTTCAGCAAATAGCCTGGATTATTTTCCTTAATTTTATAACCACCTACGGTTTGTTGCTATCATTTTGTTTAATAATTGGTAACTAATATTTCTTATATCTGGGTTTTGGTATATTTCATCGAGAATATTTTGTCTTGAGGGAATAGTTTCTCTTACTTAACAAAACTTGCTATTACCCTTTTTACATATTTTCCACTGTGATGAGGAAAAAACTTAAAAATGTTATAACTATCAATAAAGCTAGAAGTTCTGATTACATAAACTTACTGCAGGTCAATTTGTGGTATCCTTGCAACTTTAACACATTCAGAACATACAATTGAGTCCATTTCCAAGGAATGCTCACAGCAAAAAATAGAATTCCCAAATTAGCCACCTGGTAGACACCTTATTGAACCCAAGAGATGGGTTCACAAAGATGAAGGGGACACAAAGATGAAGACACAGCCCCTGACCTTGGGCCTAGTAATCATGTTTCACCTTCTTTTCATCAATGACACTGTGTTTGGTCAAAGTAACAGCCAAAAGGAATATAGCTGAAATGGGCCACAGTGTCACCCATTCTAGAACAAAGTAAGGAGCAATCCAATTGCCTCACATATTCAAATATGTTTTGAAGGAGCAGAATTCAGAAGGGTGGTGGACAGGATGGTGTCAAAAAAAGGAACCAGAACTTTAGAGTCCATTAGAGAGACCTAAGTTCAAATGTCACCTCTCACCTCCTCTCATGATTTAGGGTAAATCACTCTCCACTGGGAGTGGTACCACTCTCCCTCCCACCCACCTGGGTGGAGGAGTTTTCAGTTATCCCAATGACCAGAGGATGCTACTGGCAATTAGTGTGTGGAATCATGGATAACAAATATCTTACAAAGGACAAAAGAGTCCAGTTCAAAGAATTGTTCCATTCAAAACGCCCATAGCATCCATCACTGAGTGCTCTCTCAAACTCAGTTTCTTTAATTGTCAGATGGTAATAAGTGGACCAACCTTTCATGCTGAGTGTGAGATTTACATGATATGTTGCAAGTAAAAGTACCCAGCCCAGGAGTAAGTGCACAGTCAGCCCTTGATAAATACTGTTCTCACCTTACCATCTCTCTTCAGTTACAAACATTGCACAGAACTCATTTTAAACAGGTCCATCATGCATGATACAGCCAAGAAACAAAGTTGAGCAATCATTTTCTCAAAGCAGATAAAATAAAGCAGGAATTCCTCCAAGTTTGCAATATCTGTATAACAGGCTTTTGCAAAAATTCTCTGAGCCTTAAATCTAGAGCCAAACACTTTGTCTAGAGACCTTTATGACCCAGTTCCAACCTAACTTTCTTACTGCTCCTTTCACTCTGTCCAATTAATGTATATAGCCCCTAACAGATCATAAACCCCTTGCAGGCCTTTGCTCAGTCTGGAACACCTGTTCCCTCTTCTCTCTCTTCCTAAGTTCTCTTTGTATAGAAACATCACCAATTCCTTGAAGACCCAGTTAAAATCATCCCTACTAGGAAGCACTTCCTGGTCTCCCCTATCACTTCTAATGAGTGCATTCCTTGTATACTTATAAACTGGGCTTAACACTGCAGCACTGAATCTCAAACTAGGATCCACAGAACTCTGGGAGTTTTGGAGTTTTCTATGAAAACTTCAATTGCAGTTTTCCTTTTCATATCATCTAAAATAAATTAATATAAGCATTTCCTGGAAATGGTCAACCACCTGATATGAGTACTATCAAGCCATTTGAGTGCCCACGCCTAAGTTGGGATATACAATAGTGTTGATGCTAATAGGCCTTCTTTCATTGTGAAAGATTAATGAGATCAGAACAGCAACAAAGAAAACATAATGAAGTGTTCTCACCAACTGAAGCCCATATAACTCACAGCACACCATAAAAACAAAGATTTTCCTATGGTTCAAAACAGTAAAATAGTGGAAGACCTAAATCAAGGCATGGCAACTCCCCAAAGACGTGGTGTTTGTCCCAGTATGCATTCGGTGAGTAACCAAAAAAACAGTTTCAGGATGTTGTAAATTCTACTTTTATGGGTCTCATAATTATGTTTTCGTTTATTTTTTAATTTTGTACTTAAGAAACTGTTAAGGAATTCTGTTCTTAAGGAACTTATGTCTTGTTTTATATTTGTACATGTTACATTAAAAAATTCATGCAAATCAACACTGGGGATGCAAAAAGGAGACTTCAAAACACAGGTTTCAGAGAGTGCATTTCCTTTCAAGTACATCAAAAAGCCAGGATGCAGACAATAATCTTTATTACTTGTTCAGAATTGTAGGCACATCTGATACCATGTTCACTGACTGAAAAGTAGTTACATAACTTTCAGTAAGTTTCCTTAACCCTGTTTTTTACAGTAAGATGGGGATATTGATAATATAGGTTTGGTCAAAGGTCACGTTTAATAATATTATTGAAAGTACTTTGTAAAGTGCCAGACATATGATAGGGATTCATATTAATGTTTTCAAGTGGTCTTCCCAGCTTCTTATAGCTCTTAAACAAAGAACCCTTTTTCTTACTCTTTATGTCCCTACCACACCAACCCCGTTTGTCTGTTGCACTGACTTCTCTTCATCTAAAATCACCTCTACAGAAGGTATATCCAGCTCTCATAATGACACAAGTGTTTATGCCCACAAAGAGAAATAGCCAAAACACCCTTTCATTTTGAAATAAGATCATAGTGACAAATTCCAATTCTATTTCCAATCTTGTTAACATCAGGGTGTTGTGTTACTGGGACATTCATTACTACAAAGCGGTTCCATTTGTTTTATTAAATTTTCAATAAAGGCTTTGTGTTTGTTTATGCCCTTGAAATGAACGATGTAAGCTCATTTAAAACAGTAAAACACCCACACAAGGGGTCATCTGCTATCCCCCTAACACCTGGCAAGTTCCACAAAAGATGAGAACAAAATTAGCATTGATATAAGCACAATTAAAATCTTCATTGTTGAAAAGCCACAGTTTTGCCAATCTGGAGATGATGAGAATAGAGAAGTGGTAGGTGAATAAGGAACTAGCTGCTGGAGTGGTCAGCTCCAGTCAGTAAAGAAATTAGAATTGAGAAGTGTCTTAAAAAGCCAAAATGGGGCGGAGAGGCCAGTAGGATTTCAGGCCGTTACTGACATGACCCTGAAATTGACCTGCTTACTCCTTTCTAACACTGACTTTCAAGTCCCCAACTTTGCTGAGCCTACTTGGGATTTCCTTGCAGGCTGCGTTCATATTATCCAAGACTGTTAGTGTTGTTACGGCGGTGGCAGGCACCACAGGCTGCCTGCCCACACCAGCAGAACTAGCTGACACCCTGGATGAGATCTGTCAGACTTCAAAACTATTTTTAACTACTGTGTAACTTTGAATTTTAAATTCTCAACAGTCAGAGCAATAATAGCTGAAACGTCCCAGGAGATTAACCACTCAATTATCGTAGGAGCTTTCTTGGAAATATGTGGCATGTGATTAACAGACGGTCATAATGAAAATGTTTCACAAGCGGGTAAACTGAGGAACACACGAACGACCAAAATCACATCACAAAATCTGAATACTAATGGAACTGGCTCACTCTCAGTTCTGTTTCCTATCCATTTTTTTTTTTTTTTTTTTTTAAGCCCACCAGGAAATCTCGAGTCCGAAGTAAACATGGCTTTCTGGAGTGTGTCCTTCCAATGACAATGGTCATTCTAGTGCAATCGGGAGAAGATAGTGTAAGCCTCTCATAAATTTAAGAAAGCGAGCTGCATTTTACTTAACCCCTCTTTCTTCACGGGGGATGAAAAAACTCAGAAATAGGCATTTAAATGAGGCATGCCTAAAAATTTTTGATTTTTGAACATAGGAAAGTGAAGGAAAGATAAAAATATTACAGAGAAAGGGTACCCTTTGATTACTGAAACCAAGACAGCTGGAAACTTGATTTCCAGAATCTGTTTGGGAACTTGAGGCAGCTGTTTCTAGGAGAGATGAGAAGTAAAGAAGGGTGACGTCGTTTACATGTCCAGTCCCTTTTGGTGAAAGTCTTGGGAACGCATTATCACAATTCCTTTTAAAAATCATTTTGAAAAAATTTAAATAAGATGGCAAAATACCATCTTAGCTGAGGGGGTGACGCCCCAAAGCTTTACCTTTTCCACTTTTGCCCCGATCTCCTCCTACACAAGTGGTGCTGGGATCGCGCCCTCAATTCCCCTGGCCGACGGCTCCGCTCGGCTCACAAGTGTTTCCCATTACTACAGGCGGGACGCCGGGGCAATCGCTTTTGCCACAGAACTTGGAGAGTAGAGCGTGTGTGGAGCGGGAACCCAATCACGTTCCGGCAGGGGAAGGTGGGAAAGGAAGAGCGCGGAGCCAAGCGGGGATCGGGGGATATGCGTCCGGCCGCCGGGCAAGAACTTCTGCCCGATTTAACCTGCAGAGGAGAGGCGATTGGTGCGGCACGGGGACGGGGCAAGGAGGAGGAAACTTTAGCAATGGAGGAAGAAGAACAGAAAGTGGCGAACTGCAGCCTGGCCCAAGAGCCGCCAGCTGCCGGCAGTCAGGCCGGGAGCCTTCGTCTAGCGACTACGCGCAGGGCCCCCCCGCGACCTCCTCCGCGACTCCCACCTGGCAGCGGACCGGCCTGGAGCCGGAGGCTGGCTCGTCCCCGGCCTCTCCTCCTCTTCCTCTTCCTTGTCCCGGGAAGGACTTCGGGGAGCGAAGAACCGGGAGAAGCTGTGCCAGGGGGCGCTGCCCTTTCTCCGGCCGCTGGACATTTCCCGAGGGGGCCGCTGGCCCGGGGCGGTCTGCAGGGAACGGCCTAGGTGGTGCCTGGTGCCCGGAGCCCGACCCGGCGCCGCGGGATGCGGCGAGGGCAGATCGACTCGACGCGAGCTGCCAGCGCGGCTCAGTCTCTCCCGGGCGGGAGAAATGCGGACGCGACGCGCTCCTCGCGCTGCAGCTCCTCAAGCCGCTGCGGCTGCTCCTCCTCCCGCCCTCGCCCGGCGCGGCCCGCCCCACCCCCAGGAGGAGCCAGCGGCCGCGGCACCGCCCTGAGCCGGGCGCAGCCGCCACCGCCGGAGCGCGACATGGTCCCCAGAAGGCGCCGGCCTGAGAGCCTGAGGGGTGTCGCCCAGCGAGCGACGCTAGGCTCGAGCTTCCCGCTCAAAAGAGTTCAGGCTGCAGCCTGTTGAGCTTTGCCTTCAATTACTTTCTGTGACCGTTGTGTTTTCTATCCTAAGTGAGAGCACAGAGACAGTTTACTCCAGACTTTTGAAAGAGGTTTATGAACTAAGGTTTGTGAAAACACTTGACAAACTGCAGTACCGGGGCGCCCCGAACTTCCCGGGAGCTAAGAAACAGCTACCGCAGGGACAGCTCCAGCCCTGCGGGCGAAATCGCGTTAGCCCAGCACCGGGCGGCGGGAGGGAGAGGGGGGGACCTGTCAGGCGGTCACCACTTCCCGGCGCGTTCCGCTGGCTTTCTGTGGTGTGACTTTTCCTAACCGCGTTGCGCTTCACACTTTTCACACTCCACGCTAAGTACTTCCCTGCAAACTCAAAAACGACACTGATCAAAAAGTATGATTTCAAGCTTGGCAGTGCTGAAACGTATTTTGCAGTCGTTACACAGATGCCACTGAAATCTGGGAACCAAAGGGTCCTTAAGACTTGCTTTAAGTCTAAGTACAGTGGTATGGATTTTTCTTGTTTTTTCATACCCTAGCAGCTAGTACAGGAGATACTAAGAGGCCCATTCACCCCAGGTGTTTTGTTTTCCTTTGAAGGCGAGCTGCCCCTGGGGTAGGCATCAAGGAAGTGATATGGCGTTTGTTCATTAAACAATGTGTACAAGTAAATGAGATACAAATGAAATGTCCACAGCAGAGGGGAACCTTGGAGTAATCTCCCCTCTGGCTTTCAGGAGATGGAGGAGAAGTAGCATGAGTAGATTGCATACCTGTAAGCCCCAAGTCCTTTCAGCACCTGCTGGAGGCTGTTGAGCCTCCCTGCCTCCCCACACTGCCTCCCAGAAGCCCTCCAGCCCCTACTAACTGTAATAGAGCCAAGGCACTCACTCGCATTTGTTCTGGCAGGATTTAACCCATTAAAGTTCAGTCAGCCCGGTTTCCATCAATCGGGTTCATCTCAGTCTATCCCTCAAGATTAATTCTTTTTTACTCCTTGGTAAATTTTTCCTGCTTCTCTGTGAGCCTAGTCTGAGAAAATAGAAAAAATCTAAGATAATAGACTAGAATAAGACAAGTAAAGTTCCCAATTCTAGTTTTATTATAAGAGAATCTCCTTTGAAGATCCACTTACCAAAAAGCCCAAAGAGAGTAATAAAGCAAACTGTTTTTTCCAGCTGAAAGGTCGAAATGATAATTTGTCTTCCCAACGTATTATTGAATCAGTATATTTGTCCCCCACTTGTTCTGTGATCAAACCAGGCCCCAATGCCTACCCAGAGGGTACTTCGTTCAGGAAGTTTTTCTTGGGATAAAAATGGGTGGGAGTCAGTAGGATTTAATTAACAAATTATGGTTTTAACTAATAATATGTCTAACAATTCTCTGATCTCCACTCGGTGACACAGCAAAGCACTTAAGTGATTGTTAAATACCAATAATGCCATGCTTACACTAAGACAAATTGCGTCTATGACAAAATAGCTTAAAGCCATAAAACAATGACCGTTGAATTTTCCTTCATTTGCTTTCTGAACACTTACTACTTTTCTAGATGTCCTACATTGTTATAACCTGTACTCATATTAACCAATTTCTAAATACTAAATTCTAAGATTGCATTAGGAAGCCCGTAAAAATGTCAAATTTTAGAGCCGTAAGGATCTTAGAGATACTAATTTAGCACAGTGTCATTAATTCCCTCATCCAGTTATTCCCCAACGTTTAGTGAGTGCCTGCAGTAGAAGCACATCTACAGTGAAGCTGATGAGGCTCAAGTGTCTTGACTCCCTACTGGCACAGGCCCTTCCGGTGTGAACTCAGCAGTGTGATCCATGGCCAGTTTTATAAAATTTACCAAAGTAAATAATGTGATGAAGACCACAATCTCTTTTTTTTCCACTTAGATGTCCACTTAGATTTTCTTTCCACTTAGAGTTATCGAGCGCATTTGGGAATCTGTTAGGGAATTTCAGTTGGGAATATATTTAGTTTGGACTTAGTAGAATATATTTATGTGGTTTTCAACCTCTCCAAAATATAGTTATTTCTTGAATTCCAATTTCTCTGTAGCGCAGCTCACCAAGTATTACACCCAAGATGCAGAGCCAGAAGACATATCTTCTGTGGTCTCTGACACTGAAAATATATGGGTGATAGAGGTGAGACAAGATCTGAAAGGTAAAGCAGCACCAGGTGGCACGGGGAAAGTTATTCCAGGCATCAGAAGAAAAAGTGTCAACAGGAAGAATTACCTCCAATTGATATAATTTCTCTCATAGCAATAATATGTTCAATAATACTATATATATTTTTGTTGTTGTTGTTGTTTTTTGAGATGGAGTGTCGCTCTGTCACCCCGGCTAGGGTGCAGTGGTGCAATTTCGACTCACTGCAACCGCCGCCTCCTAGGTTCAAGCAATTCTCCTGTCCCAGCCACTCAGGAGAGTGCTGGGCTAGGTGCCCGCTACCATGCCCAGCTAATTTTTGTATTTTTAGTAGAGATGGGGTTTCACCATATTAGTCAGGCTGGTCTCGAACTCCTGACCTCAGCCACATGCCTCGGCTGCCCATAATAATTTTTATAACTATAAACACAAAACATTTTTTATTGTTGATGTAAACCATGTAAAATAGAATTTATCAGAATTCTTGTTTGTAGGGTACAAACGTGTAGCAGTACCACAAGCTCTGTGTGTGTGTGTGTGTGTGTGTGTGTGTAGTGTTGCATGTTTACACAGTCCTATCAGTAAGAGCAACAGAACTAGAGGAAAGATTACATTATCTTTTCATTATTATAGAAAATAATATTACTAAATTATCGTCATATGAAAGGTTATTGAAGAGTACACTACCAAAAATATAGGGAAAAAAGTGATATAGAGTTGTGCACGGCATTTAATAAGAAAACTATATTGTTTTTCTAGTCTACCTTTGGTAATTTGCATGGTTTATGTTTTCATTCAATATATTCATTTTTGTATCTAATGTTCTTATTTTAAAATCCTTTTTCTTTAAAGAGGATCCTCCAAATTGTAAAAACTTCAGATCCCACAAAATCTGGATATGTCCTCCAGTGCATACTATGTGTCAGATACATGCTCTTTCTTAGACGTGGAGATACAGTGGTAGATAAGACCAAATGCTTCACATCAAGGAGCAAGTCTAATTGGGCAAGATGAGCAAATAGGGTAAGATGGGAAATGTAGGCGGGATCCCCAACTCAGTCGGATGGGTTCCTGGAAGGCTCACTAAAGGAGAAACGGTCAATAGGTTCTCTTCTTCTCTGCCTCCTTTTAGCACCTGATTTCCACCTATAATGCTATAATTAAATAACTTGTGTGATATATGAGAAATCCTGAAGTTCATCACACTGTAACGGAATTGTCATTCCCACAACGTAATACCATTCTCAAAGCTATGAGAATAGAATGAAAGTGTTGATCCTTGAAGCATTTAAACTGCAAGAGTAGGTTAGTAATGTTAAGCTTTTTTGTTCTGAAAAGTCCACTGGGGAATAAACTTCTGTATATATCTTAGAGCACAGTATTTACTGTGTGGCAGGTGGCCCAGGAATATTAAGACAGCTGTCAACATCAAGGAAAGCACCAGCCCATGAAAAAGCAAGCAGATGGATTGGGGCACTTCACTAGCTGCCTCCTAGAATAATAGCTGTGCGTGGCCAAATGAGGCAGTGTCATGCTGCCCAGGGCAGCAAAAAGCTATTACTGAATATAAGCACTCAATTAGGAGGTGGGGTGGGGGAATATCCTCTCTTTTCCTTTGTTTGTATGCTCAAATTTTCATTAAGAACCCCCACAGCAAATAAGAAAGGGGAAAAATGATGTTAGCATTTCTCATTGTTACTTTCTAATTATCATGGTTTGTAACATGGGGAAATGCCTGTCTTGCTGCTTCAATGAGAACAGATGGTAAAATTTTTAAGTAATTGGTTATTCCAACTTCTATGAGATGCATGATGTTTTATGGTATTGTTTGTCTGTTTTTTGTTTGCAGAACATGTGGAGATTGAGATCTTTCGAACACACATCTTTTAATGCTTAAATTAAGTAAAATGTGTTAGTCTGACCTAAATTACATTTACACTTTTCTCCCTTTGATATGATGATACTTCAAAGAGAAATTAGTCCTTTACAAAAATATAACATTAACATTAAAAATTAAATATGTAGCTTTCAAACAGCGCAAAATTTGCTAAGATTGAAACGTTGCACTTTTAAAAATATATAAATAGGAGTAGCATGTCTTTGGCAAACACTGATTATAACATGTGTTCCAAAATGGTTGTTCACACCAATTCAGTGTGATGTGTCTTTTATCTAAGTCAAATGCTATCTAAAATATAAGGTCATATGTAAGATATTAAGTTTTATTAAT